CCACCCTCCCTCCCTTTTGCTCTCCGTCTGAGCCGTGATCCGAATTAAACTGAAAAAACAATTGGGTAGAAGCTACAGGTAAGAACGAGCCTCAATGATCAGTTCTTTTAAAAAGCCTAATCATTTGCTGCATTAAAGAACTCAAAGGGGACCAGAGCTGCAGTACTTGTTAGCGTTGTTGGCTTTTTGTTGAGATATTTATGCTAACCTCTACAGCAGCAACCCAAAATCTATTTAATGGAAGAAAATTTTCATTTTCCCAGAGCCTCTAGGTAGTGGACTTGTTTACCAAAGACTATCAGCTTTATAGATTAGTATATCTAAATGCTGATAAGGTGTTTTTTTCTCCTCCTTTTCAGAAGATAAATGCATTGTTATCTCAACAACTGGGTCAACAATCCATTCAGCAAGCTGTTAATGCTACAGCTGATACCATAAACAAGCTAGGCTGATAGGGAACATCTACTACATAAAACTGCTTTACTTGGATTCAATTGCAAACTTTTATTTTAAATATAATAGCATCTTTTTAAGCATTTTTAACAAAGATGAGCAGCAATCACCATTTCACCAGCTGACACTAATCAAATTTTATTTATTTCAAGTTTCTGCAGAATCTTTAAGGCTTGTCACACATGAAAACAGGCTATTTGCTAAGGCTAGTAGCTTTGAATTCAATAGAAAATGAAAGAAATTACAATAGTATTCCACTTTGATATATACAGTTGGTTGATACTAATGATTATTTTGCAAATCGATTCCGTTGATTATATTTTTGACTAATCGGATGTCAAATGTTCCTTAAAGAAAACTTTTTAAGGAATCAAACCAGGTGAAATTGAAACGTTTTCTTTTTTAGGGCTTATTGACAGACAAAAAAGTTTTTTTTTCTCTTAAATGGAAAATATTTGTATATTTCTTTACAATTTTGATTTAATTACTGCTAAAAGTGGGCCACTCTATCAGTTAAAGACACGTTTTAGATTCTCTATACTACAGTTAAAGATTAATGGATTACTAAATTAGTTGACGATTATTTCAATAATCGATTAATCACAATTAATCCGATTGATTGTTTCAGCTCTAATGTTTATAGACTTAAAATTGTGAGATTTTTCAGTTTTCAATCATTCTCTAAACATAAAACAATATCTGAATCTCTTTTCCAGGACTTGGCCTCCAGATCGCCGATCAGGGTCCATCAGGGAAAAGTTGTCTGATTTACTGGTGCCTCTACGTGAATTCGTTGAACACTGTATAATCTGCATTTCCGTCTGCACCTTGCTGAAGCCTATGCTGTGTTATATTAACAGGCCTTCCAGAGGCCAGATCAGCAGGATGGATCTTTTCCCTGCAGCGCATGAAAATATCACCCAGCAGCTGATCTGCTTTCTTCTCTGCCTCATGCAGGAAACTCTGATGAGATCTACATGGAACAAAGGTTTACTGCACAGGGATGCAACCCATGCCACGGTCATTTAAGTTACACACACAACATGTAAACACCTCCTGGTCTTTAACCTTTACACCTGAACAGCAGCTCTAACTGTCAGCACTTCCACAGGGACGATCAGCCAGCGAAAGGGGCCGCCTTTCCTATTTTACTGCAAAATTGTGAACTGAGCCCTCATTTCATTCAATTAAGCCACGTTTTTACAAAGGTACAAATCTGTTAAGAGACTTTTTGAGTTTGAAAGCTAAACGCCTCATATTGCTGCTGACGCTGTAGCTCCTTTGTTTGAAGGAGCCCCGCCCACACTGAATAAGCTGCAGTGGAAATGTGTGATAGTTAACTGATAAGCAGGGATCGCTCAGTGGGACTGCTAATGTGCCATCTGATGGGGCACAGACCAGACATCCAGGCTGAGTTTGCAGGATCAGCATGTGGTTTTTCAGGCAGTGAGGCTCACTCTCCAACTACAGACGATCCAGGCACTGAGTGCATGCCAAAACTACAAACTTCTATTAGGCCAAACACCTGAATTACAGTGTCCTCCAAAAGTATGAATCCCTTCTTCACTTTTTCCATGTTTAGTCACTCTACTACCACACACTTCAATCTATTCTTATCCTCTAGAGTTGAAAGGGTTCAGAAGCTCTTTTTTTGTTGTTTTTTTATTCACAAGACTGCTATTCGTTGTAAACAAATCTGACCTTTTTAGGGAGAGTGGCTAAATAATCAGTAAAAGAAAATCGTAGGAGGCCCTGTTTACAGTTTGCCATAAGCCATGCAGCGGAGTGCAGGCAGCACGGTGAAGATGATTCTGTGGTCAGTAGAGATCAAAGCTTTACTTTGGCTGTTTATGCAAAAATGTACATGTAGCAGAAACCTTATCCCCCACTGTGAAGCATGGTAGCGACAGCATAATGTTGCGGGGATGCATTTCTTTACCAGAGACATGAAACTAGGTTAAAGTTGATGGGATAATGGACGGACAGCTGGATATAGCTTTAGAAGTCTGGGAGGGGGAGAGGTCCAACTTTCAGTTAAATAAAAACATAGACATTAAAACCTGATCCACAACTTGAAGCTGGAGCTGTACACCCCTCTTTATTGTAAAAACCACAACATGTGCTTGTAACATGTTAAAAGGTCTAAAAAGTGCAAGTGTTTGAATACCTCTTTGAGGCTCAGTCAGACAACATCCGCCATTTGTGTCTTTCATTTATTCTGTAAGGACTGCAGGAAGTTCCCAGAGTTCGGATAAGCATGAGTCTCCCTGAAGCGTCTGTCCAGAAAGCTGCATTAACACTCTATGTAGGACACCAACACCCTCAGTGCAGAGACTGCAACATCTGTTTCTAAGGAGATGTTTTCAATTGTGATGGAAGAAGATCAGAAAGGGAATTAAATGGAGCAGCCACACCCATTAGGAGCTGCACATCATAGTATGAAGTCATACAGCAAAGCAAGAAGAGAAAATATATATATATATATATATATATATATATATATATATATATATATATATATATATATATAAATGAATCGAAGAATAAAAAAGTATTTCACAGATAACATACAGTCAAGATCCAACCTGGAGCTAAAACAGCAGCTCCCTGTTACCTTCTTTCAAACGTGAAACACAACTTGCATTTCTGTTAAACTATCTAGTGCAGTTTCCTGCTCAGAACAACAACCCTACTGTCTGCTATCCTAACCTCCTCCATCCCTCAATGGTGGCTATTTTCGAGCATAAGTCAATTTTCCATCACACACACTGTAAATCATCACCGGGTACAGGTTACTGTACAGCCACAGCACCAACAACATTACTCATCCTCTATGTTTCATTCGTATGAGCTGAACAGGATGGTTCCCTCTGCTGTGACCTTCAACCTGCCATGCATGGGGGTTAGAAATAAAAAACAAAAACAAATGTGCAATGATCGAATGACTACAAGCAAGTCAAATCAAGGGAAAAAGACTCCGTCCTGCTCTGCTTCTCAGAAGATGTAAATATTTAGTCACAAACAGTCCTCTTTGTCAGAAATAATTGTGGAGTTCACCCAACACAGTATCCAGGTCCAGCTTCAAAACACAAACAGGATGGTGTTTACAATAATCCTGTCTTCAGATTACACCCTAACCTTTACACAGACGCACCGTTTTCACCTCTTTGTTGGTCAAAAATTTTTAAATATTCATCTTTAATTTATAACTGGTTAGGATATAGATTAAAATTAAACACATTTAACTCAAACACTTTACACTGTTCTGAGTTTTCTTTAGAACTAAAACAAAATTAGTAAATAAAAAAACTGCAGATTCTTTTACAAAGTTTCAACAAGATTAATCTTGATTAATGCATCAAATGATGTGCCCAAAAACTTTATCAGATTTATAAAAAACTTAAGAGAAGAGCCCCAAAGTGCAAACAGATGGTTGCTGTGTTTATACAGCTGAGCAACTGGAACTAATTATCTTTAATAAGTTTAATAAACTAGAAGAAAAAAATTAGAAACTTTTTGTTTTTACAATCAAGGAAAATTTGGCAGATTCCCATCTCTCATCCATTAACTGGGGAATATCATAACAACATATAAAGGCTGGAAAGATTCAAAGTCATGCAACAAGTATTATATAATAGAGGCCTTAATTTTAAATTGGGTAATGATAAATCAGATAGCATGTTTGTGAAACCTGGCCAAAGGAAGTAGCTGTGAACTATCAGTCAGTGTTTTGATTCAGCTGCACTTAGGAGACTATGCTGACCAATTGGTATCATAAAAGCAATGACCGGCCTTCCCTAGATGATAAAGATTTGGAGTTTTCTATGAAATACAAAAGCTTTTTCATTTTTTTGTTTGCAGGAATGTCATTAAAAGAGAAACTTTATTGCAGAACTTAGGAGTTAAAAGAAACTAAAAGACAAGGAAAGAATATTTTCTGCTTTACATGCATAGATGTTACCCATCTTATAATTAACTCAGAAAAGAGCATTAAAGAATATGTGTGTGTGTGGGGGGGGGTGTTTAAAGACTGAAACCGATGGATGTCCTTGTTTTGATGCATTTGTCCTGTCAAACTGATTAAATTTTATATTTAAATAGACTTAAGAAAAGATTGCAAATATATTTATTCTATTAAAGTTAGAAAATGATCAAAGGGTTTGAAGGCCAGCTCTGATCTGGACTCAACGCAGGAGGTGGAAAACAAAAGGATCCTAACTAAATTAACATCTCTGTTGGATAATGTCTCCCACCCCATGCATGAAGCTGTAACTGCTTCACCCCAAATGCACCAGGAAGCGTTTTCACAGATCCTTCCTCCCAGCAGCAGTAAGACTATAACCATCACTGTTTCCAACAACCTCAATAAGTTGCTACATTCATGCAGATTTTGCACAGTTTCTACCTTAATCAGTTAAATAACATGCTGCTGTTATTTTGCACATCTCTGATCTCTATTTTCAAATAGCCATTACTGTAAAAATGTATTCCATAAGGGGTTGCATGTTTGCAGGAAGCAGTTTATTGTGTTCGTAAAACACCATTACCTGAATCATGGTGACCACATGGCAGGGGTTCAGAAGATAGATCACAGTCTTAGTGGCAAACTTGAACCCAACTTCTACACCAAAAGTCATGCAAAGAGCCACCAGCAACAGGTTCTTGCCCAGACTGTCCTCCTTCGTCCTCACGCAGTCTCCGCCGACAAGTCTGAACTCTTTGGACAAGTTGATTTTCTTCAGCGCCGCGCCGATCTCCAACAGAGAGATGAGGATGATGACAAAGCTCTCCACCACGCGCTGCTGGGGGCCGATGAAAGCCGCACACTCGGGCCCCCCGTTACCCTCAAACTTCGGGTCCACCCCGCCGTAGATCCAGTCCAACAGGCTGTAAATGTTATACCGGGACATATTCCTCTTCTCGGGTTGGAAAAGATACGAACAAGACGGAATAAAAGACGTCACACTGACTTCTTGGCGAAACATGTACAGCGGGATTTCCTGGTGGTTCAATGGGTGGTAGACATGTACCCACCGCCTGGGTGGTTTTCAGAGCCGCTCAACTACCTCATCCGCAAGCGGAGGAGGAACTTGGTTCGCGACGGGAGGAAGCTGTTGTCAAGACTACCCGTAGCTGATTTCAGTGAGGAGCAACGCCTCTCTCTTGTATCTCGTTTTGCTCCGGAAAGGCTAACTTATTGGACTCGTTTCAAACCAGCGAAACGACCTTCTGACACTTGCTAATATATGAATCATGTTTGAAACAGTTTACCGGCGGCTGAGCTAGCATGTGTTCTCACCAACAGCACACAGGTAGTTAGCTTAGCTTCAAAGCCCCCAGCCGATGAGGTGCTGCCTGCTATCTATTCACCCCGATGGAAGTCTCGCAGGCTGCATCACAATTCAATAAAAAAAACATAACTCTGTAGCTTATATTGACAAAATGTGTGTACGTATTTTCTAAATTGTTATTGATTGTTGTGGATCCCTTCATTGTTTATACTTGTCAAGTTAAACCAAGGTCATTGCGTTCAAAAATGCCTGCAAGTCAATACTGAGGATACAGCGCACATCCAACACCACCCTACATGGTGTCTAAATTGGTGCGTTCAATGAAAATTAGGAAATTTTCCTTTTCTTGTGTCAATTAGGACGAATTGTTCTGAGCCCGTCTGAATATCAGAGAAGTACCAAATGTAGCGTTGGTTTCTAACTAGAATTTTACAACGGAGCATTTCAGATATTTAAAAACAATCAATATTTTCTTTATGCTATGCCCGTTTTATAAGGGCCATATAACGTATTTCTTTCTTTCTTTTTTTTTTTTTTTTTTACAAATGTATTATTTGTCAAACAAAAATACATTACATGCAACTAAAACGTCATGTAAACATGCAACTAAAACGTCATGTAATTCACTAAATACACATTCTAAGCAGTTATTTTTTATGTCTTTTAAAAAGGGGGAAGTAAATTATCTTTGAGAACACTAATTTGTGTTCTCAAAGATAATTTGCCTTCTGCCAGTTTCTATCCTTCATCTTATCTTATCCTACCTCTTCTAATTATTTTGATCATCAAACATAAGCTTATATCATACAAGATAGTTTTAGTAAATCCAAAATGTGGTTTTGAATTGATTGTTTCAATGGTAAAATCTGGCATTTTTTATGAATGTGACGTGGCAATGAGTCTTTTACATTTTTGTAGGAGAATTTCGGGCTACACATTTTCTTTGTTGATTGTTTTGATTCTCTCTACAGAATTCAAGTGCCTAGTCTTACAGGCCCTTAAAAGAACAGAACCAGACCATTACACTATCTCCACCATGTTTGACTTTTGATATGATGCGCTTTTTGGGAAATAATGTGGAATGTAAACCAGATGTAAGCTAACATGACCCATTATTCACATTACTCGCCACTCTATAGAATATTTTCACTAAAGGCTTGGTTATTTTTGACAATATTGAGAGAGATGTGGTTTGCTTCCTTTTAGATTTATGGATTTTCCTTAGAAATCTCTGATTCTTATAGCCTTATTTTTGTTAAATCTAAGTTGTTGAAAGTAAGGTGATGAACTGTTGCATAAAGCGATAAGCAGAATTCATTTGTAAAGGGGCAAGTATGGGGTGTTTATCCAAATTCAGCGCTCATGGTTAATGTACCGACACTGGATTCAAGTGCTTTACAGATTTAGTTGCTTTTGGGGCCCTAGGCCATTTACAGTATTCCAAAAGTTAGGGTCGTGACCCAACTTGGGGTCCTTGATCAATCAGAATGGAGTCTTGATATCCGCTGCAGAAATTATGCTAAGCAACAAACGTTTTTTGTTGATATATAAAAGCATCACGCACAATTTGATTAAATCAAATACTTTAGTTGATAATACTATTTGTTATAAATATTATACATTTATTTGATTGATTTTGTGGAAATATTTTAAAACTCAACCTATAGTTTGGGTCGTTAGTCAGCTGTGGTACCAATCTGTGGGTCAAAAGTTGAATTGTTTAGGAAACTCTGCTCTAGGCAGTTGATTAGTTTGCTAACCACCTTGGGCTGACACTGTGGAACCTCCATTACCTTATCAGCTAACATCTCTTAAATTTACAGAGTATTATTATGATGATGATGATATTAATAAATCCCATTAGAAATGTTATTAAAAGTTTGATAAGGTGTCTATTCATTCAATATCTAATAAGGTAACAGTAAGTATATATTCATAATGGTTTTATATATATATATATATATATATATATGTGTGTGTGAACAGAGTTTTCATAGAACCTTATCCAATTCCTAAACATTCAATTGGAGTATAATGAAGTTAACTGTCACTGAAAGAAAAACTGCCTTGTTTATGAGGTTATTTTAAAGCAGGAGTTTTGTAGGCAAGCGCAGAACATTAAACTATCATCAATCAATAGCCACCGATATGATGTTACTCTTGAATTTCATAGACAAAACTTATTTAGTCAAAGCTGATATTTTTAAACATTAACGGACAGACTTGGTGTAGATTATTGTTTTTCTGCTTTATCTAACCCTTATTGATATATAACCTCATTGAGGTTAAAATGTCTTTTTGCCCACTTCCCCTGTTCAAGCCTTCAGTCTTTCTTGCAGGTAGTCTTTCATTCAGGCAACCTATGAGGCCTCCACCTATATTAGGATGTACATTTGTACTAACACATGAGGGATGCTCGCTTTGAAAGAGACAACTGTGAAACTACCACCAAGCTGAAATCCTCAGCCGACCACCTGCCAATCACACTCTCCTCCACAGATGCCTGCAATGCACTGAGCAGGATCAGCACGCACAAGGCAGCTGGACCAGATAACATCTCTGGACGTGTACTCAGGGCATGTGAGGAGCAGCTCGCTGGGGTTTTTACAGACATTTTCAACCTGTCTCTTGCCCAAGCAGCTGTACCAACATGCTTCAAATGCACTTCCATTGTGCCATTGCCAAAACACTCCAGCCCCAAGTGCCGTAACGACTACCACCCTGTAGCACTCACACCAATCATAATGAAGTGCTTTGAGCGGCTGGTCCTGGCACACCTAAAAGACTTGCTACCATACACATTAGACTCACACCAGTTTGCATATTGCAGCATAGGAGCACAGAGGACGCAGTTTCTATGGCACTGCTCTCTGTACTCACACATCTGGACAATAAGAACACTTATGCACACATGCTGTTTGTTGACTTTAGCTCAGCATTCAACACTGTCATTCCGGCGAAGTTACTGTATTAGTCAAACTTCGAGACCTGGGCATCAACACCTCCATGTGCAACTGAATTCTGGACTTTCTGACCAACAGACCCCAGAATGTCCGATTAGGCTCCAACTGCTCCACGTCCATCACACTCAACACTGGTGTACCACAGGGCTGTGTGCTAAGCCCGTTTCTCTACTCCCTCTTCACCCACGACTGCAAGCCTGTGTACGCGTCTAATTCCATCATCAAGTTTGCGGACGACACTACGGTGATTTGTCTGATCAACAACAACGATGAGACTGCCTATAGGGAGGAGATCAAGCACTTGGCCACATGGTGCACTGAAAATAACCAGCTCCTCAACACCACCAAAACAAAGGAGCTCATCATGGACTTCAGAAAAGATTCAACAGGCACCCACAACACCATCCAAATCAATGGAATGGCTGTTGAATGTGTCTCTAGTTTCAAGTTTCTGGGGACCCACATCTCAGTGGACATGTCTTGGTCAACCAATACCCCCTGCCTGGTCAAGAAGGCTCACTAGCGCTGAGGAAGAATCAGCTCCCCTCAACTATCCTGGTGAACTTCTATCGCTGTGCAAAAGAAAGCATCCTGAACAACTGTGCATCAGTGTGGTACGGAAGCTGTTCTGTTGCAGAGCGCAAGGCACTGCAGCGGGTGGTGAAAGCCACCCAGCACATCACTGGAACTTTACTACCCACCACTGAGCACATCCAGAAGAAACGCTGCCTACATCGAGCCCGCAGCATTCTTAAGGACTTATCTCACCCAGCCCACAGACTGTTTTCTCTCCTGCCCTCTGGCAGGTGTTTCAGGTGCCTCCGGACCAGAACCAGCAGACTAAAGAACAGCTTTTCCCCCAGAGCTGTCTCTTTATTGAACTCTAACCCTCACTGATAGACTCTCCTCTCCCTCCTCACACCTACCTCCATTTTGTAATTCTGTTATTTACAAGACTGTAATGTTCAGCTGCACTCCTGACTGTTACTATTGTAACAACTGTTCACATGCATCTTGCACTACTCACCTTGACTGAATATTGATTTGCACTGCCGACTGTTTATTCACAGAACCAATTGTTTACATATACATTTGCAATAACATACTTTAACTGTAATATGCAATTACCTTCCACTGCACTTTAATTTAGATAGCTTCTGTCCAAACTTTATTTATTCATTTTATAGTAAAAGCCATCTGTATAATATGCTCATAATTCTGCCTATAGTAATAGCCATCTGTACAATATTCATAGTACACATTCACCTGCAAACTCTGTTATAATAACAATCATCCGTATATGCTATTGTACATATCTGTAAAAACCCTATTTATAGTAATATCTATCTGCATATTATGTTCGGTACACATCCAGCTGTAAATTTAGTTCATAACACTAGTTATCTATATATTATATTCATAGGACGAATCTAATTAGTAAAATTCTCTTTATAATGGTATTCATCTCTTCATTTATTCTGTAGAAACCCATGTCCTGTACTTATGGAACCATTATTTATCCTGCACTTGTTGCTATTGCATTTCTGTACCTGTGTAATGACAATAAAGTTGAATATAATCTAATAGTTTCAAATTTTTCTAAAGATTTCTTAGTTCATATATGCACCACAGCAACATGATATAGGCTGCACAGCAGAGCCACAAGGATGCTAGATACTAGCTCACTAGCACATCACAGTGGATTTACAGGCATTGTTATAAAAGAGGGTA